TTCTACTGTTTTTGCACTGAGGCTTAAAGGTAGCTTAGGGTAAAGAAACTTAGTTGTGACTGTGGAGATCTCTTTATTTTTTGTATGACTTCATTTGAAGTGGCCTTGACTTTAGTTATATTTTAGTGTTTTTATACCCCTTCAATCTGGTTAATGTAATAGTCAGTCCCAGACACTGTGATGCAAGAAGGCAACAACTGTGGTTATATGGACATCTACAGAGCCATACATATATTAGTCATATAATTTAAAACTTAGTTAACAGTTTTATACTTTTCCAGTAACCCAGGAAGACGATGGATTAGTACTGATGACAAGTAGGCTGGGATGTAAAGTATGAGGGATGCAGTAAGGGAGGAAAAAATGGAAGAACATAATTTAAAAGGAAGGGAAGAAAAAACAGAGATAATAGTAAATACAAGTAGGAAAACGGGGGCTGGGCATGGTGGTGCATGCCTGTAATCCCAGCACTCAGGAGGCTGAGGCAGGAGGATCACAAGTAGGCTGGGATGTAAAGTATGAGGGATGCAGTAAGGGAGGAAAAAATGGAAGAACATAATTTAAAAGGAAGGGAAGAAAAAACAGAGATAATAGTAAATACAAGTAGGAAAACGGGGGCTGGGCATGGTGGTGCATGCCTGTAATCCCAGCACTCAGGAGGCTGAGGCAGGAGGATCGCTGTGAGTTCAAGACCAGCCTGGTCTACATAGTGAGTTCCAGGGCAGTCTCAACTACATAGTAAGACCCTGTCTCCAAAAAGAAAAACAAGTAGGAAAACAGGATAGGGACTTTGGTGATATTATTTTTATATCCGGAATTGGAGGAATGTTTTTACAGGTTATCTGTTGGGCCAGGGGAAAGGAAGAGAAGAACTTAAATAATTGGAAACGAGGGCAAGCTGTAATGAGCTCAGAAGTCTTGCATTTTAATCTTACTATAACCAATTTTCTCCCTCCGGGCTCTTGTCCTGAGAACAATGACAATGAAGCAGCAGTGGGGAATGAACCCCATGAAGTTGATCAGAAAAAAACAAAGAAAAGCCCTTGTTATTTGAGGCAGACTCCAAGGGAGGGTGTCAATGAAGCATGTAAATCTAAGGCTTATAAGAAGCCTTTGGCATGTGAAAGGGGCAGAAGGATGTGTTGACTGAAGGTATGCAGTTGCCACTATTGCTAGGCTTCTTGTCATTAGCAGATTGTATTAGTGCTTTATTTTTTGTGCTCCAATTATGCTTCTGTTTCTTGCACTCCAATTTCCTGAGGCCTATCACACCTTACCTTTAGTTTATCTAGGCCCTGGCTCTAATCTGCTTATCATTCCTCTATCCCTTGTCTCAATCTCCTCCTCAACAGTGGAGACCTTAACTGCCATTAGGAGATGCAGGGGCATCTCTTGCTCTGGCTTCTTCTTGCTCAGAGGGAATGCTGACAGAGCAGTGGTCAGGACCCACTACTGTGAGTTCTATCTAAGGGTCCTCAACAGAGATCTGAAGTTTCGCCGATCACTGAGTCTGTTCATACCACCATCTGTAGCATTGATGCTGTCAAACATGAAGAAACAAATTTCATCAAGAGGCTTGAGTATGCATAATCTAAATAATAAAGCTATAAGAAGCATTAGCAATGGCCCCACCAAGGGAACTATGATCACCATGGTTCAGATAATTTTTGGTGGATCTTTGAAGCATGATCACTTAATTTTTGTATTATATTTTTTAGTATTATAGACTGTTTTGGCATAAAGCAACTTTTTAAATTTGGAATATAGTCTCCCATTTTTGCTAGTTAGAAGGCTATCTAATAAGTCTGATTTTTAAAGATCTTTTTCATCTTATGTTAATTATTTATCTAAAAATGTTTTATTTATAAGCACATAAGTCCCTCTATGATAGCCATAAGAAGACTGAGTGTGCTGTGGTTTTGAACATTTTTATCTAAGGAATTTGAAGATTTTTGTTGAGCTTCTATAGCTGTTTCTGTGGCTTTTGAGCCTCACTAAACTTAATATTGAGAACCTTCGGCTATAGCTTGAAACCATTAGTGAGGGTCAGTGTAGTAATTGGAGCCTCCTTTGTATCTGATTTATATTGCTATTTTTATATATCTTGTTGGTTATAGTTTTCAGCTGGCTCTTTAAGACCAAGTTTAAATAAGTCTTGTGTTAATTGAAATTAGTCTCTCTCTCTCTCTCCCTTTCTCTCCCTCCCTCACTCCCTCCACATATATATGGAGATGCATCATTGTCAGTTAATGTTCCTCAGGGATTACTTTTGGGACCATTTACAAAGTCTCTTAGCTCTTTTGTCAGTGTCATCAGGTTAAATCATGGTCTTCCTCGACCACACCGCTTCCCTTGGAAGCATAGAAGATGTTTTCTTCTTTTGTGACCCTCATTTTAGCATGGTATACATTGGTTGACTCTTGTTTTCTGGTGTCTGTCTCTCTGTGCAGGAGGTTGTGTGACTCATCAGAGTTGTAGGATTTTTTAGAAAGGGCAACTCATGTCTTTGGCCCTTGTTAACCTTAGAGGGCCAGGGCCAACCTATTGCCTGTTTGCTTAGCCTAGTTATCTTTTTGAGCTTCAGTCTCTAAGCCTCAGTTTTTGAATAACCAGGACGTCAGTTTTATCAATATTGAATTGTGAGCAGTAGATTTAACTATCATCTTATCTTGATATCAAGTAGTTTGGAATATAAATAATGACCACAGAACTGCTATTTTTTTCCAACCATGATTGTTTTAGATGCCAAAACTTTATAGAATTTTAACAGTTATAAAGTTTTACAGAGAAAAATTTGAAATTAAGAGCAAATGTAACATTTTAACATGACAGTTATGCTGGAATTATTATGTTAGAACCATTGAGATTATTTTTAATCTCTAAAAGTGCATTTGAATTCTCATTTTAGCATAAAATAACTTATCAAAGAGAAGGGTGACAGATTACTGATGAGATAGCCATATTTGAGGCTTTTTCTCTTTACTGTTGGAGAAAAATCAACCTTTCAAATCTTTCATCTTAAACTGGCCCCGAGTTAATAAAATAATTCTAAAGATGACATTTTGTGGATACATATTGAGCTACCCATAATTATTTCAGATGTACTGTATGTCTTTAAGATCCCCCTTCTGTAATTTTGGAAAGAGAGAAGGAAGAGAAAAATTAGAATCTTGATTAGGTCCCACAGTTCGGCTGTCTGAGCTGCTCACCTTATCTAGGGTTCACACTGCGTTGTATAGTCCACCACAAACTGAAGTTAGAATGCAGCCTGCCTCACTTTTTGTCAGGAGTAGTCTAGGCATCCCTGTCATTCACACAGAGATCTATTCATACCCAGAGAAAGCCTCCTTATTCCTATCATATAGCTGTTCAACTTTTTATCAACATATCAAGAAAGCAGGATAAAGGAGTTACACACAGCAGCTGGAGTTTTACTCAAAAATTTACTTTAACGATTTTCATAACTACTGGCTGTGACATATGTAAGCAACTCATAGTGAGTTTAAAAAGTTTGGATATGTCACCTAAATACTATAAATCACATACTTTTATAACACCAATTCTATAATAATTATAGAAAGTTTTACCACCACAAACAACTTTAGTCTGGAAGTCATTAGTATAATATGTTTTTCAGTTTTCTATCTTTGAAGGCCTATACACATGGGAAACAAAAAATGCACTTAATATACTACGAGGTGAGGTTAGCAATAATTAGCATTACAGTTATATAGAAATCTTTGTATGTTTACTTGGCTTTTACAGAATTTAGATTTCTTTAACAGATTTACAGGGTCTAACTATACTGACAAGAATTAACGAACATCTTTAGGGTTCTTACAAGTTTAGGAAACAGTGATGCTGACCACATATAAACTTTGTACCTAATATAAAAGTGCATCTCATTTAAATGATAACAAAGCATTTGTTTAATCAAGGCCAGTAGATGTAAATCAAGTTTTAAATGGCAGGACCAAACTTAGAAGCCAAATTTTGATCATTTTATATGTCCAGATATATATTGTATAAAAGACAGTATCCATTAGTTACTTCATATGTATTTGACTTGTGCAGTCTTAACTCTATCAACTTAAGGTTTTTTTTTACTCATTGAGTTTATTGGTACATTTTAGGTATAGAGGTTCCATTTGACCCATGCATCCCTCTGCTGGGTATCTTTCCAAAAGAATTAAAAGAATCATATCACAATGATATATGCTCACCCATGTTTATGTTTATGGTGGCACAGTTTGTAATAGCTAAAACTTGGAAACAGCCCATTTGCCCATCAGCTGGAGACTGGATAAAGAAGATGTGGTTTTTATATGAAATGGAGTATTACTCAGCCATAAAGAATGAGAGATTAGAGTCATTCATAGGAAAATGGATGCATATTGAGGATATACTCTTAAGTGGAATAAATAAAGCAAACACATGTAAATACTGGATAGTTTCTCTGGTGTGAAAAACTATAATTGTGCACAAGATCCAAATGGTATAATTGACAATATGAAATAGGAAGAAAGGGGCTAAAGGTGTAGGGAAAGTGGGAAGGGTAGGGGAAAGGAAATAAGGGAAAAGAAAAAATATGAGAAAATATCATCTTGTTTTTAGATACATAGGATACGCCATAAACTAAGATAATAGCTGTTTATTTTACCAATCATGAAACGATTATTGAAAATATCTAGTAAACCAACATTTAATTTAATCTTTAACACTCAGTTTTAGTAAGCAAATATCTAATAATGGAAAACAATCTTAATACAATATAGAACCTTAGTTGTTTTTTTTTTTTTTATTTGTAAGTTTACCTTAGTTGTTTTTTTTTTTTCTAGTTTTGTAAGTTTAACCACGGGCATCTTAGTATTTTAAGAAAACCTTGGGGGTGGATGACGCGAGGCCGCGGAGCTGCCACCACTTCCTGGAGCCGCAGGCCAGGGCTGCTTGCTGCTCAGCGCCAGAGCCAGAGCCCGAGGCCCGAGCCTGCAGCCGCCGCCATCGCCATGTCCCACCAGACCAGCATCCAAGCTAGTAAAGATGTCCAAGTTATCTTTGCCACAGCCAGAAATGGAAAATACAGACTTCTGAAAATATCTATTGAAAATGAGCCACTTGTGGTTGGATCATGTAGTCAGCCTTCAGGTTCCTGGGATAAGGATTATGATTCCTTCGTTTTGCCCCTGTTGGAAGACAAGCAGCCATGCTATATACTATTCAGGTTAGATTCTCAGAATGCCCAAGGATATGAGTGGATATTCATTGGATGGTTTCCAGAGCATTCTCATGGTCATCAAAAAATGTTGTATGCAGCAACAAGAGCAACTCTGAAAAAGGAGTTTGGTGGTGGCCACGTTAAAGATGAAGTATTTGGTACAGTAAAGAACGATATCTCCTTACATGAGTATAAAAAATATTTGTTGTCAGTCTTCCCTTGCCCCACTGACTGCAGCAGAGGAAGAATTACTGCAGATTAAAATTAATGAGGTACAGACTGTTGTGGGTGTGGACACTAAGCATCAAACGCTACAAGGAGTAGCATTTCCTATTTCTCAAGAAGCTTTTCAGGCTTTGGAAAAACTGCATAACAGACAGCTGAAATATGTGCAGTTGGAAATAGATATAAAGAATGAAGTTATAATTTTGGCCAACACAACAAATACAGAACTGAAAGATTTGCCAAAGAGGTTTGCAAAAGATTCTGCACGTTATCATTTCTTTCTGTATAAACATTCCCATGAAGGAGACTACTTAGAATCCATAGTTTTTATTTATTCAGTGCCTGGATACACATACAGTATAAGAGAACGGATGCTGTATTCTAGCTGCAATTTAGAAATTGTTGAAAGACAACTACAAATGGATATAATCAGAAAGATCGAGATAAACAATGGGGATAAGCTGACTGCCTATTTTCTTTCTGAGGAAGTGCATCCTAAGCAGTATGCACATGAGCAAAGTTTTGCAAAACCAAAAGGTCCTGCAAGAAAAAGAGGGATACGAAGACTTATTAGGGGTGCAGCTGAAACAGGAGCGACTACTGATTAAAATTGATATATTAAACATTGCAATACAAATTTTTTAAAATTCAGCTTTTAGTACAGGAGAACTGAAATCGTTCCATGTTATATAGTAGGGATAAAAATTGTACTTTTAGAAAAATAGCACTTTTCACTTCTGTGTGTTTTTAAAATTAATGTTATAGAAGACTCATGATTTCTATTTTTGAGTTAAAGCTAGAAGGAGTTTCAACATAGTAATGTTTAATTTTGTCACAGTTTTCATAGAGTGTTGATTCCACACTTTCACATGATTCTTAAAATTTTATATAGTTGGGCCAGTTTGAGAAAGTTGAATGTCTTAAAGTAGGGTATATTTCTTATTACTCTTTAGTGAGACATCGGGTTTTTTTTTTAAAGAGAAGCAGAAGGACCTTAAATATTCATAATACTTGCTGAATATGTTAAGGACCAGGTTAGGTTATTTTCTAAGTAGAAAATTTAGTGTTCCTCAGGAAAGGTGGAAAGTTGGTTACTCTAAGGAGCAATCAATGCTAACTCTTGTCATTCTGGGATCAAGTCTGTGACTTTTACAAATAGTGTTTTATTGCAGCAGTTTTTTAGATTTGACTTTTTAGGGGTTTTTTTTAATGACATTAAGATTTCTGAAGATCAGATTACTTTGAAAGTAGGGTACCAGATATTTTCTATACTGCAGAATTTCTCTTGCCATTGACTTTTAACACTCAGCAAATTATTTTTTCTAGTACTTTAAAAAAGTTTCTTTCCAAAATAAGTCATTTCATTTTAAGTACTGTGAGGCCACATGATTATGTTCAGATTAAAATTTAAATTACCATTATTCTAAAGGAAACAAAACTAAAATGAAAAATGTTGAAAATGTTTCAGATTTTTTTTCTCCAAAACCATTTATAGGCAAATTGAGTTCTTTATCACTTTTTAGTAAATACTCAAATTGAAAATTGACATCCTAGTGGTAAGCAGCATAACACAGATTAAAAACTTAGCCTATGAATCTTGTTTCTTTAATATCTTATTTCAAAACATACTTAACTTTTCTCTAAAGCTTTGCATCTTCATTTACAGTATAGAGATTTTGAGCCTCACATTTCTTTGATACTTGAAGTAAGGGAGTGAGAATACTTCATATTTAATCTGTTAAATCTGCTGCAGAGCCATAACTTGGAGAATTTTCTACGTGAGCTGTGGGTATCCAGGATTTGAATTTCTTTACCTAAACTTCATGTTGCATAAAACAAATAGTAGAAATACACATTTCATAGTGTAAAACATGAAGCACTCCTGGCTAAACTTTAACATCTAAGGTAATACATGCACCTTTCTGAAATTTCATGTGTATTGAAGTAAAGCATATAATTATGGTTTGACTGATTTTTAAAAATAGAATTAAGAGTATTTGTGTGGATTTTTGTTCGTTTACAAATAATTAGACTAAACTTGCAGAATAGTCTTGTTTACTAAAGATATACTTTGTTTTCCCATGGGTGCACAAATACACACACACACACACACACACGCACGCACACACACACACACAATTATTGCATTAAGAATCCTGGAGCTATGTTGTAGACCATAGCTGACGCTGTAATTTTCAGTCAGGATGATTACCTGTAGTGAAAATATAAAATAATTTACTAGTGAATGTTTTTCCTGTACGATTCATGTGCAGTTGTACTCAAAATTCCACTACACTACATGAAAGTAAATGGACATTCCAGAATATAAATGTGATTATATAATCTTAATTATTAAACCAATGATTGCTGAGAATCAGTGATGCATTTGTTTTAGAATATAACTCATGTTTATATTATGTATTAGGTGACACTAGATGATGAATAACATATTCCCAATAAATTTATATAGCAGTCAAAAATTACATGCCTTCTGTGGACATTTTATAAGTGCATTTTATATCACAATTCAATTTTTTTTCTCTCTTTTTTTGGGGGGTCCTGGGTATCGAACTTGGGTTCTTGTGCTTTCGAGGCAGGTGGTGGAACCACTGAGCTAAATCCCCAGCCCCAATTTTTTTCTTTTAAAAAACAAATAAAAGTAAAACTTTTTGCTTTAGTCATGGAAAATTTAACCTTGTAATTATTACCAGCTCAAGGTTATAATAATATATTTAATAACATTTGTTGGGATGTGCTACCAAAAGACTCTGGGGGAAAAAAAACAGAAAGCCTCCCATCAATGAGGAAAACTGAATAAATTGGTTCAGGAGTTGATTTTTTAACCACCGAGGGGAGTCTTATTCAGCAATTTGCAAGCCCATGGGATCCCCACTGATTTACCAACAATTACTTTAGGTAACTCATGAGAAACAAATAGTAGCAGTTTTAAGCTATGTTATCTTTGACCAAGGAAAAATTCAGAAATTTTTGTATATATACAACAGTAGTCCTTGTACTTATAAAACAAAAATTTTATATTATCTTGATTGGCTTACAACCTGGATGGAAATGTGTTAACAAGTTCGAGGCTTTTATTTGCAAGACCTATGTAATCCTCAAGCCTGTTAGCCCTCATCCTGTAAGGTCTTAATTGAGTTTGGCTAGCCCCAAAAATCTATGTAACTGGTTTTCCACACAAGACCCAATAGAGCTAGAAGTTTACAAACACAAAAATAAAAGAAAAAACAAAAATGATATGACATCATAAAGCTTTAGTGGAGCGGTTGTGGGTACCTTACTCAGTTTAAATGGACAAACAAGAGCTATAGACCACGCAAAGCAATTACTTTTAAATGGAATTGTACTCTTAGATGTATTGGCCAAGTTGAACTAAAATAATTTTGTTATAGTTTTAGGTTTTAAGTATAAATAGAATAATCAGAACTTTTCCTAGGCGTGATTAATTAGTGCTTCTTTTAGGTGAATCATAACAGGGATCTCTTGTAATAAGTTAACACCAGTAGGAGTTTTAAAGGAGCAGAAAGCAAAACCCTTGTATACTCTAAAAGCAAGGACTGTTTAAAGGGCCAGGCTGGTGGTTTGTCCTAATTTTGGGATATCTGTCACCACAGTGCAAGCCCCTGGAGATCCTCTTTATTATAATTACTACAGCAGACCACTCCTCCAACAGATGTCCTTCTATATCCGAGTCATACATTAAACTGCTCTTTTGACAGCTCTTATCCTGTGTTAGAGATATAGGACTATAGTAAACTGCTTTTAATATAGGATGCAGCCCATGGGGAAATAACAGGAAAACTCCCCGTGTCTCAGTGTTATCCCTCTATAGGAGAGGATAGATGGAAAGAATGCCCCCTTTATACTCCCTATTGCTCTCTCTTCCTTGCCTCTCTCTCTGCTCCTAACAGCACGGAAGAAATCCCCACTGTATGGACAGGTCAACACTATGTGTCCAGTCAACTATGTGTCAATTCATTGTCCCAGGAAGGTAGGTGTACCCTGTGCCTTGTCCTCATGGTTGATAGGTGGATTGAAGCTGAATAAATATTGAGGTCATTTTAGGAGTAACAGAAAGCCCTCATAAGAATATCTCTTAGCCCAACATCTAGAAGAGAGAGACTGTGGTGCCAAATGGCTGTTGTTTAAGAAGTATCAGTCTCTGTCCAGGAGTCTGAAGAAAGTGGTTGAGTGATTTCCAAATTGTGCCCCCCACTCACCTGAGCACTGCAGAAGGTTCCTGAATAGAGTAGGGTGAGGCTAACTTCCAGCAGATTGGAAAGGTAAAATGGCCTGTGAGGTCCTCCCTTAACTTTGACCTTTGACCTGACAAATATTCCTTGGAGAATCTAGGGATTACTTGCTGGGTATTTGCTCTATGAAAGTTAGGGTGGGGGTCTGGACGCCAGGGACATTGGGGACTGGTGGAGCCCAGAATGTGGGCACAACTCTAACCTCTTCCCAGTCCAGTAAATCTATCAACATATATCTAAAAGAGAGGGGATCTGATCTGTCATACCAGCAAACAGAGAAAAGCTCAAATCTTTAGTTCAGCTCTTAATGAAGGCTTATGAGAAGACTCTGATAGTGGAATTACAGGACACCCTGAAAAGTGTATACCGGGAGAGCACCAAGAAATTTTACTTCTCACTTCACAGAGGACAAAATAGGCAATTGGAGGTTTTTCTACAGTATACTCAGTGCGGCTGTCAGCATGCAGTTCCCACCAAAGGATTTTGAAGCACCCACTGAGGAGTAGCTCCAATCAAACTCACAGTTGTCACCCCAGCTTTTACCAGTACCACACATCCAGAGATCTTCCTCTGAAAAGGAATTCAGGCCCTTGTCTGGCTAACACTTCCACCATCCCTGGAATCAGTGGAAGATTAACCAGGAGTTTGCTGGGGTACCTATCCTCTGCTTCAAGTGTGGCAGTTGCTCTGGTAGCTTTTAACTGGCTGGCAGATTACCCACTGTTTCTTAGAATAAAGAATGGTAGTTTGTTTGTGTGTGTTTGTGTGTGTGTGTGTGTGTGTGTGTGTGTGTGTGTGTGTGTGTGTGTGAGAGAGAGAGAGAGAGAGAGAGAGAGAGATATGTCTGGCCATTCCATCATACTTTCCTCTCTGTAGAGAAGTTGAGCCCCACAGTGGGTGCCAAAGATGTAACCAGTTTTCTCCCTCTGGGCTCTTGTCCTGAGGATGATGAAGAATAAAGTCAATAGGACAGCTGTGGGGAACAATCCAATTGTGGTTTGTTAGAAAGAGCAACAAAACAGCCCTTGCTAGGAGGATGCTGAGAAAGTGCCTAAATCTAGGGCCCTTATGCAGCATTTGGTACATGAAAGGGACAGAAGCCTCTGTTATTAAGCTGCTTCTTGTCAGGAGATTAGTCCTTTGCTCTTTGCACTCCAATTATACCTTTGTTCCTTGCACTCCAATTTCCTAAGGCTTATTTCACCTTGTCTTTGGTTTACCCAGGTCCTTGCCCTAATCACCTATCATCCCTCTATCCCTGGTCTCACTCCACATACAACTTTTGATGGGAGTTAACCTAGTAAGACCATGAAATAATACTATTTAAACCAAAGCAT